CCAAAAGCCCAAAGACAAAAGGCAAAAGGTGTGACTGCCACTAAATCATTTGCTAATGTGATGCTGAAGTTGGTGTTTTGGATGAGGGAGATCCTGAAGCAGCTACAAGCTACACTGACAAATGTGCTACTAAGCAATCCGTGTCCGCCACCATCATGCTCGGCTGCCCGCTGGTACCAATTCAAAATCGAAATGATTGCCTGCGTCGACGAGAAATCGGTCGTACTTTACAAAGCCGCTATATCCACGGTAAGGAAGGTTTACCCCGGAGCTAGGCTGGTAGTGGTGGAAAAAGGACAACCCGTCCAGGCCCAGGACAAAGGTCTGAATCCCGGCTACACCCTCGCAGCCGGACCAGGACGAGGAGGTGAAATCCGTTAAAGCCTTCGAGGATCCCGTAGCAAAATCTGGCTGCTGTTAACAACGGACCGACACCCACCGCTGCTGCCAATTAACATCGGAAAACGATATTGGTGGAATCGAGGAAGATCCTATGGAGTCCCCGAGGGATATTGAAAGCATTGAGCACGGTGAGAGTTCTTCGGGAACTTGCAGACAGACTCTAAAAACTTTACACTGAGAGAGAGCTCTTTAGCGACTCTCAGAAAGATGAAGATAAAAAAATTATTAATGCATTTCTATTAATTAATCTCCATTACAGCAAACTAGCTTCAGTAGATCTAATTAACTGCGTGAAAAAAATACTGGTTTTGTTCTCATTCAGGAGCCATGGGTTAATGGAGAGCGTATTTGGGGACTGAGAACACCGAGCTACTTCTTTATGTTACTTGTTATAGCAACCAGGACATCACAGCAGTAAGCTGGGAGACGGACGCAAGTAGATAAAAGAGCTGGTACGGGACAGCGAAGCATAAAGTGCATGATTATACTTGAATGTGACTTAAACGCACACCACACGATATGAGGCATCACAGACATCAATGATAGAGGTAAGTGTATCTTTAATTATTGTATTTACTAGGCACTAAGTTTCTGTCGTGCCAACGTTTATCACTAAAAACCGGCAAGAAGTATTGATATCACACTTATGTCGGAAGAACTATTAAACCACTCCTTTTCAGATCGGACCGATACATTGAATGTATAACTCAGAAAAATGTGGACAGAGTCAACAATTTCAGGAATCATAGGAAAATGATCTGACAAGTGCACATGTAAGAGCTAAAAAAAAAACGTATTCCCATGATTCCGCCATTACAACCCAAGAACAATGATAAACTAAAAATCCTCGTTAAACGGTTCACGGAATATTATATTTCCGACAATCATTAGAGGTCGTAAAAAATTACAGTAAGCAATTTAATGCAGCTTAACTATTACAAGACCTCTTGGAAATCTTTTTGTAATGATATGGAGACTAAGGCAGAAGAGTCTTGGCTTAGGAAAATTATAGCACAATCGGTGCATAACATTGGGTACCTGCAGAAACCAGACCACAGCTGAACGGTTTCCAGTGAATTGTCCTTAGGCCTACTAATGGATCCTCACTTCCCAGGCATCCGTGTAGATATAGTGTCAAAAAGCAATGTATGTTGAACGATAAGCAGTTTTAAATCTAATGACCTAATGGTTCAATCCCGACTCAATTACAGCAGTTGTACAATTACATAAAAGCCTATCCTACAAATATTGTACATAAAAGTCTGGTTAATAACCATTCGTAAAGAAGCGCTGCAATTAAACTATATTCCCTCCTTATGGAGGAAAGTCAAGGCAATTTATATACCAAAAGCTGGCAAAAGTTTACTTACAAGTCTAAAGGATTTCAGATCAATTAGTATTTCTTTATTTTACGTTTACTGCCTTGTTCTGTGAACAACTGGCTGCGAGGTCAGCTCCTCCCTATTACTCACCTGCAATAAGAGACATTCTAAAATACCTAACAAGTTCCTGTTTCTACCCAATACCACGAATTTACGGAAAACCCATAGAATTAAACTTAAATTCGTTCCCCAATATTGTCTTCCATTCCAGAGAAAAGTAGGAAAAAAGCAAGGAGGACAGGGACGAAGGAAAGTTATATGCATCTGGCTACTTGTTGTTATAACGGTTACCTAGTCCCCGCTTGCGTGTTATGGTTTCTCGATCGAGATAATTATGGGCAGATGGTCTGATGCGAGTGTTAGCACACCAGGTTATGCTATTTATCAGACCACCGCTAGCGATGGTAATATCTGCCGAGCTATTACAGGCGCCCATAATTCTGGTCGACGACGAAGACGAAGCACAGTCTTTCATTGTGCAGAATATCGAATCGGCAATCTGTTCCACCAGCTCCATCCCCCTACGATCGTTTGACAGGCAGGAGTGACAAAAATCGTGGTGCGCGATAAGGCGCCTAGCACCAAACGGTTTTCCCCACGACTAGCGCACCTATGTTCGGGTGATATCCTGTTGGACAACATGTAACTGGGGGAATGTACAATATATATTAAATATCTCGAGCTCGGCATCGCCTGACAGGACAGCTATACCCTGACATTCAAGGGTACTGTCCCTGCGGTCGATGTCAGCTAGGTCTCCACCATTATCTCGCTCGCGATCCTTACGTAAAACGTTGAAACTTGCACAACTCAGAAGATCTGAGCGGCTGTTTAGCTTAGTTTCTTGGACCGCATCGATACGCGTTCCCGGCTCATAAATACAACTATCTCCTCGATCTTACTCTGGAGTCCATTGTAGTTAAATTGTAGAAGTCGCGTTTGTCTCGGGTGTCTAGTGGTGATTCTGGAGGTGAGGGAGCTCCGTGTAGGTGGTGATTGTTCCAGCTGCACTATCTGCATGGGCGGTTGTCGCAATATGGTGTTGTTTGGCAACGCCACTATATGGGATTGCAGGGGCAGACTCCTACAGAAGGGACAACGTACGATGCACTCCACTCACGTGTGGTGCGAAGACCGGAACACGACAGAAAGTGACACCAGCCAGTACAAGAATTGCACTAGACTGGTATGAAATTCCGACGTATTACGGTTTGACACACGGAACAGACTGTGCGAGGAACCAGGAGTTGCTAGGAGATACTCACACGAGGATTGGAGCAGGATGAAGGTTGGGCAGGCGATTGGTCAGACTGGGAGTCATGCTGCCTGTATGAGCTACTTAGGGCCGTGGAGGTCTTTTCTTTGCCACTCGACTGGAGTGGCGGCGCTGTGCGCGAACATGGTGCACAGCCGTTAAGGCAGGTGTCGCTCTAAGGCCTTGGTAGCATGGGGCCACGTAACTCGTAGTCCTCTCCTTTGGATAAAATCCGGGACAATTCCGGTAACGTAGAACCGGCTGTTGTGGGAATTGTAGATTTAATCGACATCTTATAAATATGGCGGAGTCTCAGTTTAACCAATCCCTGGCTTGCTCGATAAGCAGGCAAACGTGGCAAAAATGGAATATAGGCCGCATATGCCGACTACTAAAATTCAAAATAAATGACATAAGAACTCTAATAGGAGTGCTAACGGGTTACTGTCTAATTGGCTATTGCAGAAGCCGCCAGGAAGTAGAAAAAGAGCAGTATTTAAGGTAGTAGCACGGTGGGACGGCCGAAATTTCGACCTTTTTCCTGAATTTTTTTCAGCAGGAAGAGATTATTATTATTTATAATTTACTCTAGTGAACTATGTGAATAATATGCATTAAAAAAATAAAATAAAAAGTGAGCTTGTGAGAAAAGGTACTGAAAATCGAATTTTTTTTGCTGACAAATTGTTTAAAAAAATTATTCAATTATCAAAAAAATTACTGTTTCAAAGGTTAGGTATTTAGCTATATGTACAATATCTGGAATAACGAGTTAAATTTTTAGCCACGTAATTGCGGGAAATTTTAAAAACAAAGTTTCGAGAAAAACACCTTCAAAGTTTTGACAACAAATAATACTTACATACATCAATCAGCTATACAGACTACGGCGCGTTCTCCTTATGTGGCTATAACTTCGAAAATATTCAAAATTTCGGTGTGGAAATTTTACAGTATATTTTTGAAAGGTTTGTCTATTAAATAAGTAAAAAATACTTTGTGCACCCATCACATCACATGTGAAAGTAAAGCTCTGTATAGGAAAAGAATCGCAACCATTGGTTGAGGGTTTCTTGCCGATATTTGGGAGGTTGCACAGATAAAACTTTTAGTACTGATGAACTTCATTAAAAGAACGGGGTGGTTCAGAGAGGAGACAATAGAGTGAGGTAATTTTTATTCCCTGTGGCCTAAAATCCCTAAAAGCCTATGTGCGTCGTCAGACAGCCTATCCTAATCTATGTAGTTAATAATAATATTTACAAAATATTCTAAATCAGTGCTTTACCTTGACCATATTTTCAAATAATATTTGGGTAAATCCCATCATATGGCAAGTAGAATCAAAATATTGTGTATAAATATCTTCGATTTTTGAGAGAAAATCTATAAATTTAGAGGGTGGTTTTACTACTTGGCAATTACTATATTGCTTTTCTGAAGTAAAAAATCAACCTTCCTCAGTTATACCACCATCAAATCTTGGCAAAGGCAGTAGGCATTTATATGGTTTAAAATATTTATAATACAGGCAGCATAAAAAATATACGAAAACATTTTTATGTAGAAATCAGCTTTCATCTATCTCCATATTTAAACGCAAATGACTTGCATCTGTCATTCGTGTTTTAATTTCCTTTTTTTAATTTTTCTATTGACACTAATGACAAATATGTTTTCTCAATCACACTAAATCGATAAGATCAACAAATAAGATGGATTTTGCTTGTTTGGGAAATTCGAAATTGATTAAAACAGAAACATCCCATTTGTGTGCGTTGGTGTTAGTGCTTGAAGAAAAACATTTTAATATTGTTGAAACTCCTGGGGAAAGTGGTTGGAGCCGTGACTGGCACGGTACTTGTTGGTTTATACAATGATGAAAATTCAGAACAATCAATACAAAACATCCACGTTCATCCACCAAACATACACAATGTTTCAAAACAAGTTCAAGTAAATCAATGTTCCTACCATATTTTTCTTTCCTTTCACAAATACGGGCGTGTTTAATTTTGAGAATAATTACATTTATAATATTTGCGAAATTACTTTTGATTAATGTATTCTAATTATAAGCAAGCGTTTCAGAATATTTTTACTTAAACGTCAGTTGTTGCCCTTCCCTTGTTATTTTTTCTTCATCCACGCCTTCGTTCTGCAAATCATGACTTGAAAGCTTCCAAACTTTATTCATCAGTGAAAGATCCGCTCATTCGCCTGCGAATTTAGTTAGTACCGACCGCGGATAAGACCAATTTTTTATTGTATTATTTATTTTATTAAATACATTCGTAAAATGAATGAAATTAAAGGAAATGCTAATTTTACTATTAACAATTGAAAAACTGCGGAGATTTGAGGATTAATTAAGAATTTTCGGCAACATTCTAGCGGTCCAGTATGCAGTCGATATACATTCTAATATCTATAAATTTAGTTTAGAAGAAATATTTTTTATATCAATGGCATTATGTGCGGTATGGAAACAAAAATTATAGAGTACTTCAAGATATCTTCCAGATCGTTCAGAATTCAGCCATTCATCTAGTGGCTTCGACGCTTTATACCCGTTCTACAGTGAACGTGACTTTTATAGTTTTTGACCAAGTCACATTTATTAGTCACCGAAATGGTGCTGTCACTTTTCTATAAAAATATATTTGCATAAAGATATTCTAATCAACTATATACTCAACCTGCTTCTATTCTCTATTAACAGTAGCCTTTCTGCATGATTTTTTCTAAATAGAAATAATGTTAATTTAAAAATTTGTTTAATAATGTATTTATGTTAACAGTTAGAAATGTATAAAAGATATAATATTCTTAGAACTGTAGTGTGGATTCTAAAGTATCCAATATATCTTGGAAAAACTGTTTGTATTATTGTAGTTGTTGTAATTATTGAAAAACGGTTAACCCATATGATATAATGATAATATGTAATGATATTTACTTCTTTTCATAATTTTTTGTGTTGTGAAATATTTCTTAAGAATTTGCAATGCCTATTGATATATTATATTAATATGATTAAAGTAATATTTATAATTGTATTTTTTCCATAATTAATAAACAATTTTTAAAATTAGAATATAACGATTTTATATATCAATAAAAGTCATTGTTTTATATTTCTTTTTGTTTCATTTTACGAACTCTTGCACAAAATTAAGCAATGTCGTCAATAATTTTAAATAAGTCTAAACTCAGGATAAAAGTATGTTCCCAAAACAATTTTTTTCAGCTGCATCAAGTAAGGCATGCATAAAGGGGACGTAAATGTTCTTTTTTTCTTTTAAATAATCAAACAATTAATAACTAACGTAATAATAGCTTCTTATTAAAACATGACCATCTATTAAATGTTTCATATTTAGTTAGTGAGTTATCGCGCTTATAGTAATTTTCAACTTAATCGTTTTATGGGGAGTGGGCGCTGTTACCATCCGGTTTCATCCATTTTTGCATTAGATGAGGAGATGCCAGAGTACTTGTCTTCAGCATGTCATGTCCACTTCTTAAAATCTTTCAAACTGTAGATGTCTCTTCATAGCGCGATGCGATATACAAAACTACAGTTTTTTTCTTCTTATTTTATAGGCGTACCCCACCCTCTACCAAAACTACTAACCCTATATCACCCAAACATGCTGAGCCTGACGATGGAAACACTTGTACTTCCAATTAATAACTAGCGTCTCATCATCCTCTGCATGCTGCTGACTCTACTTTACCGAGCTTCAGAAGTACTAGAGGTATATGCCCTCTGCCAGTTACCGGTCGAAATGCTCGAACGAGTTATCGAAAATTGGACTCAACGGATGGACCATCTGAGATGTAGCCGCGACCAATATTTGAAAGAGATAATATTCAAAAAATAAATAGCAAGGAATGTTCTTTCAATTGATAATAAACATTCTCCATTATATTTGAATTTTCCGTATTTTTCTCTTTAATAAAGTATGGAACCTCGAAATGGATCAGCCTTCTGGAAAGTCCTCCATGAACACTACTCTAGTATTCTAAAACCTGAAGTGTTCCTGTAGATTCAGTTACCTCAAGCAACACTAGAGGAAGCAGGATGTTCTAAGGCAACTTAAAGGAATTGTATACCTGGCTGCACCAGAGCGGATCAACTGCACTGAGTTTTTATTTATTTTAATTCCTATTGAATAGATTGTATCTAATATATTGGGCTAACCGCCTTTTGGGAGCTTTTATGAATTAACACTACGAACAACTTAAAGGAAAATGCGCTTGTGATTATTGTGTACACTCTTTTCCTTTTATTTAGTTAACCATTTAGATTCACTAATCATTTCAATCGAAACAAATTTAAATTTATCTAATTCAATCCAAGGGGAATCCGGAAAAGGGTCGTTGAAAGTCGTACTCGGAAAAAAAAAAGTTGACGTGGCTTAGATTCGAATGTTTAAGGTTGATGTGGCGCTCAGGTCCGTAGACGAAAACGAATAATGATGTGAGGGCGATGATCCCGTCCTTTTTCTTGGTTGGTGGTGTGAGGCGTCCTCGTGTGTGGTGATATTCAGCGTGTGGTGACATCCTGTATAGGGTTCTCAGGAGTGGTGTGTATTATTAGGGTGTGCTAATAATGTACCTGTTTAGTTGGTGTATACATATATGCGAGGGAGAGGCTTAGCTTATTTAACCATCCTGGGCCCCCTAGGCAAATATTTTGCCTAGTATTACACATATGGGCAGTATTATGCATTTCGGCGTGCTGTTGATGGAGTCGAATTGTATTTTGGTATAGACTTGAGATACGCAACTATATTCTGACAATTTTTTGGTTTTATAGTTGGCAATACAATAGGTAGTGATTGTATTTACGATTTTTCCTTTTATCGATTTTTTATGCGGATTGTTAATGATTTACCTTTTCTGTATTATCAGCAATTATTTGCAATCTCTTTATTATCGGCTTATGAGGATGGCGACTCCACGCCTGGCTCAGATATGGCCAGAATGAATGCTCCTTTGAAAACATTTGAAGAGGGATCTTGCGAGAGTAAAATTTATGATTTTCACCCACTTTTTTGAAGTGAGATTTACAACTTTTACAAGTGTTTCCCATAAACTAGCCGTTTGATGAGCGCTTAGATAGTTGCGATAAGTGCGACCTTTGCTTTTTGTAAGTCTGGATGCGTCACTGTATCACATTGTAAGTATGGTGATCCCTTGAAAATGTTGACAACTATGAGGCACTCTAGTAAGAGAGGTGTCGATTTTTCGACTTTCTTAGGACAATTTTGTTATATGTTATGTTAAGTACGGGGTCGAAAAGTTACATATTTGTGTTTTTAAACCTGATCTTGTCAGAAGGGAATCTGACTTGGATTTTCTGCCAATTCGTGGGAACATTGGGAATTTAGTGGTAGTCGTATGACGTACCGGCCATTATTTGATCGGGTAGTTGTGGCTTTGTGGAAGTCTTCACAATACTGATCTTTTGGGGTTGTAATTGATATGAGGAGGAGTTCTTCTAACTCCCAAAATTTTTTCAATTGTGAATGGAGGTATTCATTCGAGATTTCCTCAACTTGAGTTGTCATTGTGGTAGCTGGTTCCATAACTAGTCCACTTAGGATCCAACCGAAAATAGTATTTTGTGCCAATAGTGTGTTGAAAATCTTTCATTTGTTGCCACGTTGGGCATTTCTTTCGTGATGAGAGCGATTGCTTCCCAGCTGTCTGTGGGAATATTTTGTGTCGATAGAACCGACAAACAATTTGAAACAGTGGATAGTAGTTTAACAAATTGTTCAGTTGTTTCTTTTTTAATTTTAAGCAAGTTTATTAGTGTCGTTACTTGTTTATCGACCGATATTCTTTAATTTTCATATCTTGCTTTTAGAGCTTCCCAAGCCAAATTGAAATTGTCGTCATTTAGTGCGAATTATTTGACTATGACGCCTGCTTGACCTTTTGTTTTGTATTGGAGGTGATACAATTTTTGTGCTTTTGATAATTTTGGATAGTTGATGTATATGGCAGTGAACATGTCCCGGAAAGACTGCCATTCTTCATAACCTCCATAAAATATTTATGTGTCACATGCGGGCACCTCGAGATGGATGCCTGAACTTGTCTCTTGACTTTGAATTTGTGGCAGCTCTACTCTCGGTCGTGGAGTAGGTGCAATCGCTTTTATTAGCTTTAATTGGTTAGAAATCATAGCTTTTGTTTCTTCATATTGGTCTAAGCAGTTTTCGTATAGTGCGTAAGCCGATGATTTAAAATCGTGTGGAAGATCTGAATTGTCATAATCTACTATGGCGTCATGAGCAGTTTGGAGACGAGTCCAAAAATTGTCAATATTTTGTTTTTTTATTTCCAATAACGATTCAGAGATGTCTTGAATCGGTGAAGATGAAAATCGAGTGCAGTATCGTGTTGATCTGTCACTCTCAGAAATGAATTTGACAAACTGTTTTGAACGTGTAGCTCCTACAGGTGTAGTTTGACTTTTGTCGCCATTAACCATTTTTGTTATGTTATTTATATAATGTTTCAATGAATTATTAATATATAACCTTTTATTTATTTTTTCAGTGTAAACTGAATTTACTTGTGATAAGATTTTGTTGTGGTTTTATTTTGAATATATTGCTTTATTTAATTTAATTGATAAAAATCGCACTTCTAATTCAATAATATTATTTATGTCCTTATGTTGATGTATTTAAGTACACCCTAATACACGGACTTGTTAGTATATATTTATGTGCTCGTGAAATTGAGAGCTCGTTGAAGAGATCTATACACTTTGTACATAAGTATGCACGGATTGTTTGTGCGTATGTATGTATATTTTCTAATGCAATTGAGAGCTCGTTGAAGAGATCAATGTGCTTTTAGTTTTTTATGTACGCAATCCTGCTTGTTTGTTACAAGGGATATTGCGGGGTGTATGCCAATGTGGACTTTGAAAATATGTACAACTATAATTGTATATGTTTTAATATGTATATATTTAAATATTATTTTTGTTTGTGTGCAATTGAGAGCTCGTTAGAGAGATCAATGCGTTTTTGTTTGGTTTGCAATCCTGATTGCTTGTGTTTTAACAAGAACAAGAGGTTTTGATTGAATATATGTACATATGCGTATGTACTTAAGTTCTTGTTAAAAGAATATTTTATATATGGTTTTTTTTTATGTTTTTTGTTTGCGTTGTAACAAATGTATTTTTTAATATTTGGTATTACTTTATTTAGCAAATCATTTAATCACCTCTTTTGCAAGATTTAAAATTTAATTTTGTAGTTCAATAATACCCAATGTGTAGAAAGATAGGCAGATTCTTTGCCGTAAGTTTTTAAAAATTTGATTATATATTTAAGCGACGTAAAGAGAGCGCGAAAATAGAATTGGTAAAACACGATGTTTTGCCGTATATGTACTTACATGTGTATGTAAATATGTAATTTGGTTTAATAAGTATGTAAATATGAATGTTTGTATTTATTTTGTTTCTCTTCCTTTGGCTTTTAATTTTGGTTATATGTTTGTGCCTTTGCTTACTTATTTTAGGCAATCCTGCTTACTGTTTTGTTAAAAATAAGGGGTAATGCCGGAAAATATTTGCAAGTAAATACTTGAATTATGTTTTTGTTTTTTATGTTGGTGGAATATGTGTGTTTGAAAACACAAAGGTAAGCTTAAAGGCATACAATAATTATTTACGTATTATATATATTTGGATATACAAA